CCATGACAATGGCCCTTAAAATGTTCAATTTTCAACAACAAAAAAATGCATACAGAGAAACGTGAAAACGCTACAGAAACAAGGCAAGAAAATAAATTGACAGAAACCATCCCTTAAATATCACAGACAGTGAACTTACCATGTAGACTTTAAGACACTTTCTTGAAGAATGATGAAAATATTAAAGCAAAATATGAAGAGATAAAGGAATCAGCAAAACTATACAGCAAAAGTAAAAATTGTATAAAGAGGGGCCTGATGAAATAGCATAGCGGTTAAGGTCCTTGCCTTGAACGCACCAGGGTCCCATGTGGGTGCTGTTGCTGATCCCAGTGGCCCCACTTCCCATCCAGCTCCCTGTCTGTGGCCAGGGAAAGCAGTTGAGGATGGCCCAAAGCCTTGGGACCCTGCACCCATGTTGGAGACCCAGTGGAGCCTCCTGGCTCCTGGCTGCTTGGGGAGTGAACCATTGGACATATCTTCCTCTCTAACTTTCCTCCTCTCTGTATATCTGCCTTTCCAATAAAAATAAATAATTCTTTAAAAAAAAAAACTGTGAAAAAACTAAGCAACAAAATGTGTGGAAGTTTAGGGTACAATACATAGGTTTAAAAATTCACTAAGTTGATTTGGTGAAATAGCAAATTTGATCAGGCAAAAGGAAAAAGGAATGCATTTGTATGTAATTCATTTGAAATGATCAAAACTGAGGGGCACAGGAAAAAATATTGGCAGAACCTGTGAGTCTTATGGAACGTGGTCAGAGAGAACAATATTTGGTTACTGAAACTCAAGGAAAAGAGAAGAAGAAAGTGACAGGACATTTGTTTTAAGAGAAATACTCCCCCAATTTAAAGGAGGATGTGAATGTACACTCCAGAGAAGTTCAACGACCTCTGTGTAGTATAATCTCAAACAGACACAATTGCAGTATTTTTAATCAAACTATTGAGGCATAGGACAGAGATAAAAACATCCATGTTTTCATTTATCTCAGCTTATTATTAGAAAATCTAGTCAGATAAATTAGGCAATAAATGAAATTATCCAAATTGGAAAGCAAGTAGAATTGCCCTTATTCATAAATGATATGCTATTACATATAAAAAACTTTCAATAAACATAAATATAGATTGATGGGATTAGAACAAAAACCCCAAAGTAAATCCAAGCTGAGTTGGTAAATAATTTTCAGCCAAAGTTATAAGATCAGTTAGGCATAAATGAAAATATTTTAAACAGCTGTGGTAGCAAATAATATCCAAATATGAAAAATTAATTTCATCTTTATATTATGCCATATATTTAAAAATAAACATCAAATATATTAAAGAGGTAAAAGTAAAATATATAACTATAAACATCTAGAAGACATGGGACAAACGTTTTATGACATTAATTCTGACAAAGATGTTTTGGATATGACACCAAGTATGTGGTTTATGAATGAACAAAAATGCACAGAAGGTTCATCAAAATTTAGAATGTTCGTACACCAAAGAACACTATCAAAAAGCGCAAGAAGGGGACAAACTACTGAAGGAGAGACAGTGCTTTCAAAGCACGTATTTGTTATAAGAATAATGTCCAGAATTCATCAAGGAATCCCTCATGCCAACAGTAAAGCAAACAGCCCAATTACAAAGGAGCAAAAGACTTGAATAGATATTTCACAAGAAGACTTACAGATACTCAGTAAGTGTAAGAAGAACAACTACTTAGCATCAATAGTTAGTTACATGTGCAAAATTGAACCCCTGCTACCATAACAAAATAGCAAAGAATAAGTGGCTTTAAAACCATATTTTCTCAACATTTCTGTATCCAAGATGACGTGCAGACTGATTTGGATATTGCTGAGTTCTCTTTTCCAAGCGTAGATGTAGCTGACTTCTCTATCTTCACATGGTGGAAAGCTCAATGTTTCTTCTTATTATTACCCTATTGGATCAGAATCTAACTTTACAATCTCATTTAACTAATTCCTTGCATAATGGCCTTATCTCCAAATACAGTCACTTTGGGGATTAGAATGTAACCATATGGGAGTTAGAAGCTGGATTTCAAGCTCCTGGTTTGATGCAGGGGAAGCTGATATTGGCTGCTGCAAAGATGCTCTCTCCATGTGGAGTGGAGGTGGCTGGAGTGATAGTGGCCCAAGCTGTGGAGGATGGACCATGGAATTCACCTGAAAGGAACCCACTTGACCCTTGCAGGTATTGGGAAGAAATTGGGCTGGACCAGGATGCAGTGCCTATTGGCGCATGTAAAGGCTGGGACTGAGCACAGACCATGTCAAGCAGGGCCATCGTACCCATCAGCACATTTGAGATCTGGTGCTGGGAGTGGACCTAGTAGGAGAACTTGGAGAACTTCCTACAAGGATCCCACTGATGAGCATAAGAGCCAGTGATGGGGGCAGATTCGGTGAGGCAGGGCTGTAGCACTTGTCAGCATTTGTGTGACCTACATTTGAGGACAGGCTGTGTCGGGCCAGGCCAGAACACCTACTGGCACATATGAGAACCAGGACAGGATGTGGGCTTTGCCTAGGTAGGCTGAGCTGTACCACCGCCAGCGAGAGCTGAGACTACATGTGGGCCATCCCAGACCAGGTTGAAGTATCCACCAGCACTCACGAGATCTGGGACAGGGAACAGGCTTGGTAGGAGAACTTGAAGAATTCTTTTACCACACTGCAGCTCCCGCTGATAAGTACAAGAGCTGGAGCTGTTGGTGGATGAGGGTGGGCAAGGATGCAGCACCCATCTGCATTTGTGTGGGTTGGGTCTGGGGACAGGCAAGACTAGCCTATACTCATGTACCTGCTGGTGCACGTGAGAGCCAGAATTGGTGTGAGACATGCCAGAATAGGCATTGGAACTCACCTGATAACCTGAGAGCTGGGTCTGTGTGTGAACTAAGCAGGTTAAGCTGTAGCACTCACCACTGAGAGACAAAATGGGTACAGGCCAATCAGACAGACAAGCATGTGTATTGGATGGTACTGGTAACAGATCAAGCTTCACACTGCACTAGTTTATGCACACAAGAGGCAAAAATGATGTCACCCCTGGTGAAGTTTCTTGGGGGACTCCCCAACTAGATTATTGGATTCAAATGCTGGCCACAGAGAAAATCAAAAGATATGTGTTTGGAGGATCAAGATGGCAGAATAGGGCAAGGAGATATTTAAACAGATAGAAAAATATTAGGCAGTGTGAAGCAGAGAGGTCACATTCCAGGAAATAGTAGAGGACAGAACAACAGCAGAGGGGCACCTGGAGACTGATAGACAAAGGAAAGCAGCAAAAACACTGGCGTGGCTTTGCAGTGACTGATACCTCAACTTCATTCACTGAACAGCGATCTGAGCTCCACTAGCAGCTGGAACTCCACCAGCAACAAGGTGGGAAGGAATGTTCCCCGGGAGCTCAGGAGGTGAACCCAGACAAAAAAACTGCTCATCCTGCTGGTCTGTTTGATTTGACCAGAAGCAGAGACAGAGTAGCAGATCCCAGATGGGCTATAGGGTGAATTACATAACCCAATCCGCACTCTACAGCCTTTGTTTAAGGAGGCAAGGGCTAAGAACCCTTTGCCTACCTCAGAGTTAACTGAGGAATACATTGAGAAAATGGGGGATACAGAATTGAAAACACTTGTTATAAAGCTTCTTGTCAACAACAAGAAGTACCTTAGAGCAGGAACTGAAGGAATTTAAGCAATATGTCACACTGGAAGTGAATCAAATGAAAGCTGATATATTAGAAAGGAAGAACACAATAGAGCAAATTAAAAGGACAGTGGAGATGATCCAAAATAGAATGAAGAAGGCAGAAAAAAATCTTAAAATTAGAGATATTTCCTGTGCCCACGGGGAAACAAACAAAAAGCAGAAAGCAGAGCTGAATCCGGCTAAAAAAAAGTATTCAAGAATTGAAAGACACTATTGAAAGTCCAAATATAGAATTATGGGAGTCCCAGAAGATGCAGAAAGAGAATCTGGGTTTAAAAATATGTTTAATGAAATAATAAGGGAAAATTTCCCTAATCCAGAGGAAAAATTGGGAAACAACATCCAGGAGGGGCACAGAACTCCAGACAGGTTTGATCAAAAGTGATCTTCACCAAGACACATGATCATCAAGCTCTCTTCAATCAAACATAACAAAAAGATCTTTAAATGTGCACCTGAAAAAAAATTAATTGACATGCAGTGAAATGCCAATTAAATTCATAGGAGACCTCTCACAGGAAACTACAGGCCAGAAAAATGGAGCAATATAGTCCACATTCTAATATATATATATATATATATATATATATATATATATCTCCACCCAGGATAATGTACCCAGCAAAGTTTTCCTTTGTTTTTGAAAATGAAATAAAATCCTTCCACAGTCCAGAAAAGTTAAGAATATGCTTCTTCCAAACCTGCCCTACAAATGATAAATGATACTTACAGATGTTCTCTTGACAGAGAAATGACATAGTGCCCAGCAAAACCAAAGGCAAATGTAAAGAACATCCCAGTAAAATAACAATAGATTAAATCAATGAACAATCCATTGCTAAAATGGCAGAATCAGATTACCATCCATTCATATTAGCCCTGAATGTAAATGACTTAAACTCATGAATCAAATGTCATAGATTAGTAAACTGCATTAAAAACCACAAAATCAACAGCCACAGGGTGGGGTGGGAGGGGCGGGAGCCGCCGCCTCCAGGGTGGGTGCCCTTCCCCATGGCCGCCAGCGGCCCGGGATGAGGCTTTCATCGCCTTACATGGTTTTGAACCCATGAAGCTGTGTTCCTTGAGCCAGACGAGCAGTCTGCTGCGTGCACTATACAGTGTGGACGGATCTCTGCCAGGTGTGTGGTGGCCTCCTGCACGCAGGCTCCGGCAAGCTCCCCTAAGTTCTTAGGGGACCGCTTTGCCTTTGGAATCAGAGAGTTGCAAAGTTCGGTAAAGAATAGCCCTTGTGGATAAGCACAAAGTCAAGCACAGCGGTTGGACAGAATTTGCGAAGGTATCCTCCCCCAGATCATGAACGGCCCCCTGCACCCCCGCCCCTTGGTGGCCCTGCTGGATGGCAAAGACTGCACTGTAGAGATGCCCATCCTAAGGCACCTAGCCACAGTGGCCGTCTGTGACGCACAGTCTACGCAGGAAATCCACGAGAAGGTTCTGAACGAGGCTGTGGACGCCATGATGTACCACACCATCACCCTCACCAGAGAAGACCTGGAGAAGTTCACGGCCCCCTGAGGGTGATCGTGCGGGTCAGCAGCGGCTACGACAATGTGGGCATCAAGGCTGCTGGCGAGCTTGGGATTGCCGTGTGCAACATCCCATCGGCAGCCGTGGAGGAGATGGCCAATTCCACCATCTGCCACATGCTCAACCTGTACTGGTGGAACACGTGGCTCTACCAGGCGCTGTGGGAGGGCACGCGGGTGCAGAGTGTGGAGCAGATTCGGGAGGTGGCCTCCGGGGCGGCCCGCATCTGTGGGGAGACATTAGGTCTCATTGGCTTCGGTTGCACGGGGCAGGCAGTTGCCGTTCAAGCCAAGGCCTTTGGATTCAGTGTCATATTGTATGACCCCTACTTGCAGGATGGGATAGAGTAGCCCCTGGGTTTGCAGAGGGTCTACACCCTGCAGGACCTGCTGTACCAGAGCAACTGTGTCTCCTTGCACTGCAATCTCAACGAGCATAACCATCACCTCATCAATGAACTTTACCATAAAGCAGATGAGGCAAGGAGCCTTCCTGGTGAATGCAGCCCGTCTACCGTGTTGGTAGACGAGAAGGCCTTAGCCCAGGCCCTCAAGGAAGGCCATATACGAGAGGAGGCCCTCTAGGTGCACTAGTCGGAGCCCTTCAGCTTTGCTCAGGGTCCACTCAAAGATGCCCCGAACTTCATCTGCACCCCACACATGGCCTGGTACAGCGAGCAAGCCTCCCTGGAGGTGAGGGAGGCCGCGGCCAAGGAGATCCGCCCTGCCATCACAGGTCGCATTCCAGAAAGCTTAAGAAACTGTGTCAACAAGGAGTTCTTTGTTACATCGGCGGCTCCGTGGTCAGTAATAGATCAGCAAGCTATTCATCCCGAGCTCAATGGCGCGACGTGCAGATACCCCACCAGGCCTCATGGGCGTGGTCCCAGTGGGGCTTCCAGCAACCGTGGAAGGGATCCTTTTGGGGGGCATGCCCTGGACTCCGAGCCTCCCCACTGTGGCCCACCCCTCCCAAGCTCCTTCACCCACCCAGCCCACAAAACATGGGGACAATCGAGAGCACCCCAATGAGCAATAGCAGCCAATGCAGGACGGTGGAACATTTGGACATACTTGGGACCAAGAGACCGTGAAAGCAAAGGAATTGTCTGAACCTGGACATAGGCATCATTGATGTTGCAGTAGCTCTCTGTTAAAACAACGAGAGCTAGAAAACGGAAGATGTCTGCTTACCGAAGCGCTCAAATACTACAATGTGACTTATTAAGGACCAACTTCTGTTGTTGTATGTTATACGTTTTTCATCTGTGCATCAAACCACCAAGAATAGAGCTTTTTCCTTTTTCCTCAGTCCCTGGGGCACAGCAGGCCCTGAGCACCTTGCTCTACAATGTTGCATCAAGAGTTCCAAACATCAGAAAAAAAAAAAAAAAAAGATCTTGAGGAAATCCCCACCCTGCAACTCTGGTCCCTGCGGTCTACAGGGCACATTCCCTCCTTTGAATCATAGGAAGATGGAATCCCTAACAAGACGGCAAGAACACTGCCTGAGTTGGACATCTGCGCGCACAGGACGGAAGATGGTGTGGGCTTCTGGATGAAGTCTCTCAGCTGAACTGCAGACTCATCGGGCAAGCCGGCTTTGAGTTCAGGAATACCCTCTGATGATGCAAAAAAGAAAAAAAAATGCTAAGTTTCACAAGCTGTTTGCACTCAAATATAGTTTCTCAGTTTCAGATCCTCAGCTATTTTATTGAGTGGAAAGTCATACTTCATAAGTGGAAAATGTCTTCAAATTTGGAATAAATGTGTTGAATCTAGTACTACTTGCTATGAAGAGGCTAAATTATATTAAAATAGGAATGAATATATAATTAAATATATAGTGTTTAAGTGTCTTTCATTTAAACAGGAAAGAAAAGCTCTTTCCTATTCAACAGCTGTTACAAATGCCTGGTTTGGTAACTTTGTTCATTGTCAGTATGTAGCAGCTTATTAATGTTCACTGCAGCTCTGATAATTAATTTTATCAAACAATGAATTGATTACTGTCTCTGAGTTAAGAATGAACTATATATTGAAATAAATATTGTTTTTATTACAAAAAGCATAGAATTTGAATTTGTGAATTTTGAGGTGATGGATTTTGTTTACAGTACCAAAAAAAAAAAAAAAAAAACCTACACCTAACCCAAAATGAGTACAATTTGTACTCACATGTATGATAAAATTAGAAAATAGCTGGCACTGGTGATAATGTGGATATAATCTGAACCATATGTATTGCTGCTGGGGTAATAAAAGATTCAATAGCTATATAGAACAGAATTACACTTTCTCAAAAGTTAAACATAATTACTGCATGATCCAGCAATTCCACTTGTAGGTGTCCAGAAAAAATATCGAAAGGGGATTTGGAAACATTTACTCCAGTGTTCATTGCAACATTATTCACAGTAGGCAAAAGTGACAATAATGCAATATAATATTCATCAATAAATGAATGGATAAACAAAATATGGTATATGCATGCATTAAAATACTATTGAGCCTTAGTACTAAAATTCTGTTACATAAAATAGAAAAATAACAGAATAGGAAATAATCAGAAATTATTTTTTAATGGGTACAGTTTCAATTTGGGCTGATGAACAATTCTGTGAAGAGATGGTGATGGTCACACAACAAAGTGAATGTATCTCATACTGCTGAATTTACACTTAATAGTGATTGATGCAGTAAGTGTTATGTTACAGGCATTTTACCAAAAGTTCAAAAACAGTGAAAGGGTAATAGTAATCTATAAACAATTAAAACATAGAAGTGAAGGCCAGAACACAAAATTGACAAGCTATAAAGAGACCATCATCTGGAGGGCTGAATAGGATAAAGTTCAAAAGTTAATGTTAGGAGAGATTACTCCACATTTTTTCTCTTGGACAAGCTATTAAAATAAAAGAATATTACATGTCGTTAAAACTCACATGGATGAATACAACATATGGAGTCTTAGAGAACCTAGGGTCAAGACTGATAGTTTTATCATGTGCCAATTTAATTAACCAGATCAACTCTAAAAATGTCAGAGTAGTTCTGGGGGATGAGAAAAAATGATAAAATATTATACACTTACCCAAACAATAGTCATAATTTCAGCTGGGATGCCATATAGATCTTCGCTATACCATCCACATGCAGTTTGTTATAAAATATATGGCCATGGGGCCCTGCGGCATGGCCTAGTGGCTAAAGTCCTCACCTTGAATGCACCGGGATCCCATATGGGTGCCAGTTCTAATCCCAGTGGCTCCACTTCCCATCCAGCTCCCTGCTTGTGGTCTGGGAAAGCAGTCAAGGACGGCCCAAAGCTTTGGGACCCTGCACCCGCGTGGGAGACCCGGAAGAAGCTCCTGGCTCCTGGCTTAGGATCAGCATAGCATCGGCCATTACGCTCACTTGGGAGTGAATCATCGGACGGAAGATCTTCCTCTCTGTCTCTCCTCCTCTCTGTATATCTGACTTTCCAACAAATAAATAAATCTTAAAAGAAAAAAAGATATATGGCCATGGATGTAGTACCTGGATTATTTTATATATTTGTCCAAAGAAGAGGATCAAAAATAATTTGCATTAACTTGAAAGCGGGTAGCATATATACATTAATAGTTTTACATAGGGGCTACATAACTATTTTGTCTTTATCAACAATAGTCTGATGAAACCTGCACCATCTCTCTAATAATATAATTCAAAAAGTTCTGGTGAAGTAGACCTTCTGTCATATATCACACTGGCAAAGAATTTTGGTGATTTGAATTTCTAAATAGTGAGTCAGAAATCCTTCAAAGATTCAAATGTCCACAAAATCAGTAACAGTTTAAATTAGTTGGAGATAATATTAACCCACATCCTTAATTGTGAAGCCTGAGTTATCCCCATTCCTGAGAAAGAACCACAATATCTTCCAGTCTGTCTCTGGATCTGGGAGATAATATATTATACTTCTTGCAAAACCACTTTGACTCATAATATGAATTGCTGCCAGCTTTGATTGTTATCCAGAGTAGGAAATGTCCTTGCAGTAGGTTAATCCTACAGGGTAAGCATCCCAGCTGTTTCCACTATCTCATTTGGCAGACTTATGGTATTTGATACATATGTGGTAGAAAAAGATGCTCTTTTTGAGCCTATACCAGTGACAAGAAGAAAACAGCAATGCACTTCTAGAATATCATAGCAAGGCCATTCACTCTGAAGAACACAAATGTTTATTGATAAGTAACTCTTGGCAGAGCAATCAGCTGTGATAGAAAGACAGAGTACCTGACAATGAAAAACCAGTTAAGCATGCAGCCATCCATCACAGGCTAGAATATTTTTTTTTATTAACATTGTATTATGTGAAACAGTTTTATAAGCATTGGGGAGTCCCCCCGCCCCTCCCACACCCCTCCTCCCATAGTGGATTGCTCCATCTTGTTGCATAACCACAGTTCAAGTTCAGTTGAAATTCCTACATTGTGAGCATGTACCCAGCATAAAGTCCAGCGTCCTATTGTCCAGATAAGTTCAGTGGCCTCTTGGGGAGACCTTCTCTGGTCTGAAGGTAGAGCTAACAGAGTAAAGTTCCGGTCAGTTAAAACCCCCAACAAAACATCAGCGTCGATATATAATGTTATGGGGTTAATTGGTATAATGTTGAGTGAACAATATGTTAAAAAAAAAAGTTCAATTCTTCCACACCTCTGGGTTTATTTTAAAGCCACTGAATCATGAGTTCAAATTAACACAGCAAGTCCTAGTACTAACATGAAAGTTCTGTCCTCTGGCCATGACCCAAACCCATTTGTACCACTTCCATTCTAGTATGAAGGGATTGGGCACAACCATGACCAGGGAACAGAAATAATTTTAATACAGAGGAGGACTAGATTCTCATTGAATTCACCCTTACATTACCTTCACTTTTCCCACAATGCACAGCTATGGACATAGAAGTTGCTTAGGCACTGTCAATGCAGGGAAAAGACAGCACAGCTACATTTATGGATGTGCCATTGTTTCCTGAGAAATCAGCCAAAAGTATACCACATCTGCATCGTAGACTCACTGTAGGTGGCCTTGTAAGAGAACAGTGAGAGGAAACATAATTGCTTTGCATTGTCATCTGTTTTGGGAAGATAGAGAAGTGGCCTTCAGATTGGTCCTCCCATCCCTGTCCTCCCCTCACACTGGGGTACTTCAAAGGGTTCACGAAAAAATAAGCCTTTTTCTACAAAGTTTTTGAAGTACTCATGTGTGGGTGGGTGCAGACAATTCCAAATCAAATGGCTTGGGCAGTTTGAAATCCAGAGGCAGAGACCTGTGCATAGATCTATGGGCATGTATTCTAAATATTGCCTACTAGAGAATATCTACCATTAAAGAGGCATCAAAGAGCTGAGGAGACAGAATGTTTTGGCCAATTAGCATCTGTCAATCATTTGGATGCTGGCATAAGTGCACACATGAGAAAAGTGGTTCTGATAGAAACAATGGAGGTTGCATATGGGCTCAGTTGTAGGAGTTCCCATTTGCAAAATGTGATCTAAGTACAACAGTTGGAAGGTCAAATATCAGATATCAAAATTGTAGACTACTGGCACACTACCTCTTCTTAAGAAGACCAACAATCACCTGGTAGAAAGTTAATAACATTCAAACCCTTCTACTCCAAACTAAAACAGTGATCATTTTGAATGGCTATACATATATAGAGATATGGATTTACCTTATTGTCCATAAAGCCTCAGTCCTTAAAGTGATTTTTAAAAATAGAATGTTTGATTCAACAACATTAGGTACCACATGGCAGCATTTCATATGAAGAAAACCACCTTATTCCTGAGAAGATGTAACAGTAGGCCAATAACCACAAGAACCATTGATAACTTCACATGTAGCACAACCTAGAATTTTCCAGTCTTGTAAAAGCACTGAAATATTCTGCTGAAGGCTTGGATGAGGTACTACTTTAGAGAGAACACCCTATAAGAATGGAGCCTTGTCCTCCAAGATTCACCATACAACTTTAAACCACTCACCATTTTATTATGCTTTGTCCCTGAATGGTAGAGAAATCAACAGTACAAGAAACATTGGCTTCACTCATCAATACTCTAAATAACTCCATTGGAGAACTTTTGTGCACCATTCCATTTAAGTGGGCTGGTCCAGATG